AACCCAGGACCTTTCAGTCCATAGGCTGACTCTATCCATTGAGCCAAACTGGTTTTGGCTCAGTTGTCATTTAAAGTAACCAAACCTTTCTCGCCGAAACCGGTTTGGCTCAGTGGTAGAGCTTCGGTCTGCGGACTGAAAGGTCCCAGGTTCGATTCCGTCAAGGGCATGTACATTGGTTGCAGGCACATCCCCAATAGGGGGTATGCAAGAGGCAGCTGGTCAATGTTTCTCTCACATTGACGTTTCTAGCTTTCTATCTCTTTCCCTTCCTCCTCTCTGTAAAATATCAATAAAATATATAAAAAAAAAATAAAATAAAGTGACCAAACCTTTCTGGTTGTCTGCTGGGGACAGACTCAGAAAGCTTCATGTGACAAATGAGAAACAAGTATTTGTTAGTACTGGTATGGGTGCTAGAAACATATCAGTGAACAAATTAGATAAACATCCCTGCCCGCATGGAACCGAAGTTTGTGTGTGTTGTGTGTGTGTGTGTGTGTGTTTTCAGGTATTATGATTAATGCTGGAAGCCTTGGTTAGTGCATTTAAGATGGATCATATAAGTCCTTGAAGTCCTTTCTAGCTTTACATTTTATTAAATGCTGACAATAATGAGGCATGGTTTTTAAAACATTTGCTACCTGAACAAACTTCAAGATAAGGAACAACTTTGCTTAGAAAGCAGTACATTTTGATCCAGAAATCAGTAATTCTTTTTTTTTTTCTTGAGTCCTCTTTTTGTCCTTTACCAAGTTTATTTATGTAGGAGATGTTGTTAGGGTCCCACCTCAGCCCTTCCTGAAAGTCACTGGTGACGGTTTCTGCACATGCCCACGGCTTCTGTGTTCTCCCTCTTCATTAGAGAGAGCAAACTGCCAGGTACAGGTTGAGATGGAAGCTCTGGGAATTGAAGCTGTAAGAGCAACTCTCAATCAATGAGGGAGAGGGGATAGTGGACAAAAATCCAGCACGTGTCTCTCCCAGCAGTTCTCCAGTGGGAGCCCCAGTCACCCATTGTAATAACCTATTCATTAAAACATGTTTGTTTTTTTTCAAAAATTTCCCTCTCCTCTTTGTTATTTCTCCACTCTACCATGCTGAGTGAACTTCCTCGGGTTATCTCCCAAATAAGTTATTTGTGTCAAAGTGTTTGGTTCTCTTTTTGGCAGAATTCACATTAAGGTGATATATTAATTTGAGTGGAAATATAATTCAGAATGCACACATTTTCAGGCTCAAGTTGACCCATTTCACTGTACAATTTGAATTTGTACCATGTCATGTCACTTTCACAGATGCTTCTGGTTGTACATTTTGTACCTACTTAAGAACAAACCTATCTTTTCTCTTTGATGACACAGTACTCTTTAAAAAAAAAAAAACCAAAAACAAAAAAACAAAAACAGTTTGAGCAAGGAGTCTGACTCAACTCCTTGAGTTATTAACTTCATGGAATAATTTTATTCTTCCAGTAATTTCTATTAAGTGTGTTCTTCCCAGTGGGTAATGAGTAACAACCATAACTCATGATTCTGTCTAATCCATTAAAAATTGTTTCATGACCAGCCAGCATGGCTCAGTGGTTGAGCATCTACCTATGAACCAGGAGTTCATAGTTCAATTCCTGATCTGGGAACATGCCCAGGTTGTAGGCTCGATCTTCAGTGGAGGGAGGGGGTATGTTGGAGGCAGCCAATTGATGATACTTTCTCATCATTGATGCCTCTATCCCCTCTCTGAAATCAATAAAAATATATTTTGAAAAATAATTCATTCTAATTTAAAATAAATCCCTTCTCCTTTGCTTGGGCTAAACTTGTATCAGAAAAAGATAAGGAGGTAGCAGTGGATAAGTAGGGGCAGAAACCAGGATATGTGCTCTTACCCTTCCTTTCTTCCAAGTCCCTTCTCCAAATCATGGGGTCTCACTCTAACACAAGGCTTATATGATAATTACAGGGAGCAGTTGGGAAGGAAGGTTGCTTTGGAGATGTTGTTGGATGAAGGGAAGATGCCTGAATCTCATTTGTGTCAGCCCGAAGCCTCTGTCATTGAGAGTGGTCTTGATGAAGATGGTACAAGTAGTTTTTAGAATCAGGTTCAGCTCTACCCTGATGCCTTCACCCTGCAGAAAAGGAGCCATACCTCCCTTCAGTTCCCTCCATGGTGTATGCCTCCAATACATTCCCTAGGTTGGGCCATCCCATTGCTTAGCTAAATGGATTGCCATGTTCCCCATTCCTTTTCTATGGTCCATCATCACCAAAGGAAGCTGATGCCTCCTTCCATGCCCTGCAATGGCTTTGGGGACCAGCCTGAGGAAGGTTACCTCCATCTTTCTCTTCCCTGGCATACTACATCCTTTCTCATCATGTTATCTCAGACCGAAATTTCTAGTTGAGAAATGAACTCTTTATAGACAAGTGTCCCTCTCAACTTCATGGTTTAAATATTAATATTTCCTTTGGCACCCAATCAAGAAGGGGAGGAAGGACACTCTCTTCCAGGCTATTAGAGACCTCTCACCACACCTTCTTTAATGAAAAAAAAAAAAGTCATCCTTTTTATGTTTTTGTTTTGTTTTGTTTTGTTTTGTTGTTGTTGGTAAAAGCCTTCAGATCAGTTTGGCATCTTTGGAACAGGGAAGTGAAATGGGTGTCTTTACCTATGAAACTGGCTTTCCTTGAACTTGGCTTAAAGAATTTAATAATCATTTTCCTCAATAGTGGTATCTACAACATCGTTTTACATTCTTTGTAACCTCCATGGATGGGAATATTTGTCTTTGGCTCATGTCATCATGATGTTACCCATAACTTTATACCAACTCAGTTGCATTTCCCAAGATCATCATGAAACCATTCTTGATTACTCAAGAAAACAAATTTGGGAAAATCAGTAGTTTCTAATAACAATGCAAAAAAAGGCAAACATTTATTTTTATTTGCAAGTGCAGTTTCTGCCAATAGTTAGTGCTCACAAAACCTTAAGCTACAGTAGCTTTCGGTAAATCCAATGAGTAGTTTAAAAAATATCCAGTGATAAGAAAATTACAGAAAAAATTTCCAGTACACTGTCAAAATGTTTGGAATCCAAAATCCACTATTTTCTGCAACGGTTTTAATATTTGTCCTGGTTAAAAACAGATTTTTCTTTTCTTTCTACTACATAGTCCTGCCTAAATTAGCACAATCTGTTCCATGAATTTTTAGGACTGCCATTTTCTGAATTTAGATCATTTTTATTATTACACATTTATATTAATATATTAATATCTTACATAAAACATTGACTTGTTGAATTTTATGAAATAAAATGACAGATTTTATTTGTGGTTAGGCATTCCCAGTTTTGGGGAAAACTGAAAATCTAATCAGTAGAAAGTCATTTTATGCCTTTTTTCCCCTTTTAATTGTAATAAATAATTAGCAACCTATTAATTACAAAAAATCTTAATTATGCTTAGAGCAACCAGAGCATTTTCACAGATTTAAATTCGTCTTTATTACAGTATGTGAAATCATTGAGAAGGGCTTCTGGTTTTCCGGTTTGGTAACAAAATGGCTTTTCTGATGCATAATGAGTGGAAACTAATGATGACTATGTAGCTCTTCCAGAGTTTAAAGGCAAATCTATATTGGCCTACGGTTAACATGCAAATTCATCCAACAAGCAACACAAAATGTAGTAGTCATTCATTGCTATCAACATCTGAGGAGACCTAGTCAGCAGCACAACTCTCCTATGTCAGAAACACGTTATAACATGGTCACAACTGAAGTTAGGTCCCACCCTTCCTAACGCACCCTCTAGAGTCAGTTCAGCTTCCAGCACAATACATGAACAACAGCGATCAACACTGCGGTATACGAAGGTCAATGTAGACAAGAGTTTGGTGTGCTAGCATACAGAGTTTTCAAACAGTGACAAATGAAACCAAACATCCTGCCTTGTTCTCTCTCCTTTCCCTTTGTGAGACTGGAAATCTCATAGCCTTACTGAAACCTTCAACATGGGGGATCCCAGTCCAATGATCCTAGCACTGAAATTGTTCCTTGGGAGGGAAATTTGGCCACAAGGGGAGGGCATACTCATTTGAGACAGGACATGGGGGTGGCGGTGGGGGGTGGAGAAGGGGAAGGAATACCTGCTGTGCAAACACTGGTTTGTGACTAACAGCCTTAAAGGGAAATATGGTTTTTCCAAATATTTAGCTTTATCCCAAAGAGTAGTTTGGTGGTATCCTGTGGCTCAAACCTTACTATTTTTGGTTGAATAAATGAAATGCACACCACCATCACCATCACTCTTAGTGCTTCTTCCATCACATAAGACACTTGTTAAGATAAGAAAGATATTCTACTAAAGCTGACGGTGATTGAGAGTCATTCAGTATTCAAAGTTCCTAAGAATCGTTGGTTCTCTGAAAGGGATAAAAAAGTAGGAAAGGCTTTGTTCAAACTCTTGCTAGTAAACAAGTATTACTTCAACTGATACAATGGCTACGCGACATCAAAGTACTATAAATTATCAAAACTATCGTACAGAAAAATTACAAATTCATTGCAAAATACATTACACTGCTACCATTAAGAAAAAAGTGCTTTTTGTTTTCCTTCCTTTTTATTTATTTATTTTTTTTGCCAGAAAAGTATTCTTTCAATATAGAAAATCCTATGTGTTACCCTGCATGTGGCTAGGATGTATCATAACGGAGTTTGTACTGAGTCCTTCTGATTTGCTGGATGAAGGGCTGAAAAATATAATGATGACTTATGAAAGCCGTGTTCCCAATGAGCATGCCAGCTGTCAGTGGAGAGATGCCGATTAAGACACAAGAAGATGCCCTGGTCTGTTAAACCCTGCTGGTCATCACACTGTCCCACTGATCAGCTGGTTAGAACGCAGAGGCCTTTGCATATTGTATGGTTTCCTCGTGTTCTCCTGAATGATTCTCGTGTCCTCCTCTGGCTTTGTCACCTGTATGGATCCTCTTCTCAGTGATGCCTGTACTGTCTCATGAGGGGAACGATGCAAGAAGGTGGACCTGCCAGTTTCAAGAACGGATGTCCAAGGAGTTCCTGGGCTGTGGCTCTCTGAGAGGGCTCCCTCACCAGCATCAGGTCCAGGAATCCCCGGAGCACGGAAGAAACCTGTGAAAACAGTGACAGCATCCTGAGGGCTGACACAGAGCTCGCCCAGTTTCCCTGAAATGATTCCCCAGCGAATTCCCAGAAAAATCACTTTACCACCAAAACTGGTTTGGCTCAGTGAATAGAGCATCAGCCTGTAGACTGAAAAGTCCCAGGTTCAATTTCAGTCAAGGGCATGTACCTTGGTTGCGGGCACATTCCCAGTAACGGGTGTGCAAGAGGCAGCTGATCAATGATTCTCTCTCATCAATGTTTCTAACTCTCTATCCCTCTCTCTTCCTCTCTGTAAAAAAATCAATTATATATATATATATATATATATATATATATATACACACATATATATATATTAAAAAATCACTCTACCCATCATTCCAGGAAATCAGCTTGAGGAGAAAGATGTGGAAGCAAAAGCAGGTATTACCATTATTAACACATGATGTCTTCATTACCTTTTTCATGTTTGAAATAATAGGAGTAAATGGTAATGCAACAAAGAATGACAATTTATTTACTAAAGAAAAATATAATGGTAAGAGTGGTAACAGCAGCTATTATAAGGTGCATACTATATGCAGCACTGGTCACACTTGTTTAATGAAGTGTGGTATAAACATGCACTAGTTTTATTTTCCTAACAACTCCAACCATCAGGTCTTTGTGAAAACCCCTTTTGTGAAGGAACTTGTTTCCTGCAAGGATATCTCACAAGGATAGTATTTTTTCCCCTTGAGTTTCTTTCCCTTTAATTTTGAGGAACAGCTTACATACATTCAAGTGCGTAAACATTAAGTACATATTTCACAGTAGGTTTTTTTGTTGTTTTTAACATATATTTACACCTATTTTCTCTCCTTCTCTATACAAATATAAACATTGCTCATTTTAGGAGGCTACCGTGGGCCCCTTTCCCATCAATACCCTTTTCCCTGCAGAAGCTTACTACCAGCCTGACCTCCTATAGCACCGATTAATTTCACCTGCATTTGTCCTTTACAGAAATGGAGTCATATAGTTATAGGCTGTCAGCTTTTCTCTTTGGCTTCTTTCACTCTTCATTGTGTCTGTGAGACTCATCCCTATGCAGCAAAGTCCTAGCCTTCTCATTGCCGTCTGGTATTCACACCCCACGTATTACATATCCATTTGGGAAACGGCCTGGGGCAGTTTCCAGGTTTTGACCAGTTGGACTAAAGCTGTTCTTGTACTTGAATTTGGAGAACATCACACTCGTTCATAGTGGGTGTGGAGATATTTTGATGACATACTATTTTAACCACATTTCATTATTTAAATTTAGCCCAATGCATAAGCTTTTCAAACTCCTGTTCAATTCAGTCTCCTTTTTTTTTTTTTTTGCCTGGTCCTCATAATATATATGAGTAATTCTAGCGGGGCTCTTCCCTAAGATAGGGAAGAAAGAAGAAGAAATGCTATCATTACAAACTAGTCTCCTAGTCTCCCTACAAGGCAGCTCTACCCTTCACCCCTTCTTTTGGCTGTGAGGGAGATGGGAGGGGAGGTGGATGTGGGGTGTGTTTAGAGTACTGGTGCTATGGAATGACCTTCTCAGAAAGCCCTGCCCCCACTGGTGGCCACCTCAGTGATGGTTCTTCAACTTAACATCATTTTTTCCTGAGGATGGCCATACTTGGAAAACAGGAAAGACTACATCATCCCTGGACCATGTCCTTCGTTGCCCTGCCTGGTATAGACCTGCCTACCTTTTTGACACCATCCTTTCTCTTTGCTCACTTTCTCAGCATATAAATTTCCCATCTTGGCTTGGGACTTTCACTTGTCTCTCTGCCTGGGACATGTTTCTCCCAGATCTTTGTTTGGTTTGCCCCTTCTTTCCAATTTGGGTCATCCCTCCCCAGAAAGGGCTGCTTTCACACTAACCTAAACAAGCTCCAGTACCCTCACCTGCACATTCCATCACATTCCAGTGCTTTATTTGTTTCATGGCATGGACCAATCTCTGAAATGATTTTGTTCAACCATTTATTTGTAGTTTATCTGGCTTCCCAACTAGAATGCAAGCTCTGTGAGAGTCAGGACATCTGGGGTCGTGCACTGTGATATCCCCAGCAATTAGAACATTTCCTGGCATGTAGCCGGACTAAGTGAGGGAGGGTTGAGTTTCCTCTTCTAGCTTATCCTGGGAGAGTGAAGCCAACCTTGGCCCATTTTACAAATGAACTTCAAAGATGGAGAGGCCGAATCCCTTGGCTAGTGAGTGAACAGGAAGAGCAGATATTTTGAATCCAAGTGACTCTAATGGAAAGTCCCTGACTGTAAACCAGGATCTACTCCTGAATCTGATGTTCTAGTATTTAAAACTTCAGGGAGACTGATAAATCCAAGAACGATTTTGAACTTCAGCAACAGCCTCTCACCTTGTGTAGGTCCTTCACTCGAGGAGGTAAACTGTCCCGGATCCTCCGCATTGCCTGCAGGGGAGGCTCGTTGAAGTAGGGGGGCTCGCCATCAATCATTTCTATCACCATGATCCCCAGAGACCAGATGTCCACCTGTTAGGCACAACCCACTGGTTATTTGAGGCAAGGAGAACACTTTGCAATGTTGGATTTCTCCAGGGAACCAAAAAGATTAATATTTATTCACAAATTAATGTTGTTTTTTATTATTGATTTCAGAGAGGAAGGGATAAGAGAGAGATAGTAACATCAATGATGAGAGAAAATCATTGACCAGCTGCCTCCTGCATGCCCCACACTAGGGATTGAGCTGCAGCCTGGGCATGTGCCCCAAAAAGGAATCTAACTGTGACCTCCTGGTTCATAGGTCCATGCTCAACCACAGCCCAGACAATGTGGTTTTTTACAATATCCCAACAGTTACAACACAGATTCGCAGGCTGAATCACTGAGTTACCAAGTATTCGCTAATGGATTTCATTTGCTTTTCAGATTCAGTGAAGACTCTGATAATTAGGTACACACGAGTGTCCTAACATTCTGAGGATTGGAACTTTATTTTTTTACCCTCTTGACATTGGTGATTAACTATCTGTCGGGACATGTGAGGAGAGCATGCAACATTTTGTTTTGAACATCGAGAGGAAAGTTATATATTTAAACTATAAAAAATAAGAGTTTGGGACATATTCATAACAAACTCCAAAGAGCTACATTGCACAACACAAAATATTCTGATTCTTGTATTGATTGGGTTTTTAAAAATAGTTCTCTCCACACATATACTTCAGGGTTCTTTCTTTTGCATCTTATCATCTTGAAACAGCAGGCACAAAGCCCTGTTTTATAAAACCATTTTCAGGGGGAAAAAAGAGGAGAATATGACAAGCAATTCTTTCTGAGTAAAGAATGGGGAGCCAGGACAATGGGAAGCCCTAGCTGGGCCATAAATCCCCAGTTACAGTCACTTCCCTGTTACAGCCTCATTACACTGCTTATCAGTTAGCTGCATTCTTCTTTTAACCTTTTCAGTGACCTTCATGAGAATTTATGCTCTTGGAACCACAGGGAGAAAAATAAGTTGAGCACTCATCCAAGGGCAAGCAAACAAGGGAAAGAGGGCTCAGCCCACCTTAGCTTATGCCAATAGCCTCAGCTCATTGATTCATGCCACCTCTTCTACGCTTCTCCTCTCTTAGCATCGCCTTCTGCACCATAACATGTGGGAACACTGCCAGCCCAGGAGTGAGCTCCTTGCTCTCTGTGTGTGTTGCCTTGCATGCTTCAGAGCTTCTACTCACACTAGTCCCTCTCCAGAAAGTCCCCTGTTGTCATGTGGCTAAGATCCCTTAAGAAATAATGAGCAATTGTTTCCATTCCAGAGGAAAGAGAAATTGTGCCATATTTTGAAATGTAATATTCCTATGTGATTTTTTTCCTATGGGAAAACATTGCTCATCCAATTATTACCTCCATTTTGTGGAGCTTTCTCTGACCCTCTATCCTTTGAATCATCACACCTGCTCATCTGTGTGTGTATCCGGCCACTTTTCTAGTTGCATTACCTTGCTCTGTGAATGCTGGCCACCAAGGGTAGGATCAGAGTTTGAATCAATGTCCATGGTAGGATCTCAATAAACTCCTCTTGGTCAGTGTTGTGACAATATTTTCAGAGCTGGCCATTCTCTCTCTGCCACAACCTACTCTGTAACAAGTCCAGTGAATAGGGGTCAAATATAGAGTCAAAGGTCATCACCCTGATTGCTTCTGGTCACTAACACCTAAGAACCACTATATTCCATCCTTGAGCCTATCCAAACCCTACCTCTTTCTATGGATGTCATCCCCTTACCTCCGTCCCATAAGGTAGCCTAGAAATCACTTCAGGTGCCATCCAGTAGGGAGTGCCAACCAATGATTTTCTCTTCGGTACCTCTTTGGACACTTGAGCACAGAAACCAAAGTCTGATAACTTTATCTGGAAAGGCAAGAAAAGCAACAAACATAAAAGTGCTGGCTTGGAGATGTAGAAATATATGGAAACTTTCACATTAAAAACAAAACAGTCCCTGCCAAAACCGATTTGGCCCAGTGGATAGAGCATCAGCCTGCAGACTGAAGGGTCCCAGGTTCCATTCTGGTGGGGGGGGGGGGTGTGCAGGGACCAAGAGGCAGCTGATGGATGTTTCTCTCTCATCGATGTTTCTAACTCTCTATCCCTCTCTTTTCCTCTCTGTAAAAAATCAAGAAAATATATATTTAAAAAAAAGTCTCATTAATAGGCCTTGGAAATACTATTGGCAGAGGGGTTGTCAGACCCTTTTATTGGGAAAGCATACCCTTTTATTGGGAAAGCAGACCCTTTTATTGAGCCACTTTAGTAGAAAAACTCTCATGGCCCCAATACAAGAGTTTATATCTTTAAACTCCTGGTCCTTATATCTTTTATAAAATAAGGAAACAAAAACAAATTTGCACATTCAATATTCTAAAAGCAACAAATTCGTTAAAATTCAAACCCACAACAGATGAAGTTTAAATAAATTGCTATTCTCAATGAGAGTTTTGTACAAACTGTTACTGCAGGGAAGGTTCTTGTGCATTGAACACATTTGGATTTCTACGGTAACATGAGAGATTCAAATAACCAAACTTATTTCTGTGTGTGGATTATTGTAAGGCCTCATTTACATAGGATGCTTTAAATATTGGCTCCCCTTTTCTTTTTGTTTTCTTCCTTTGTTCATGACAAAGTTACCAATGTGCACATCAGCCTTTTCTCTGGCTCTACATCTGCTGCCTACACCTTTAATATTGGGCTACCTAGGGTTCAAGTCCAAACTCTCACCTCTTCTCTTTTTAAATACTCTTGCTTGACACACTTTTGCCTTCCATGCTCAATGCAGATTTCTGTCCCCCATTCTAAACCTCTACTTCATCTAGTCTTTATTTTCATATGGGGTTAATTTTGGTGAAGGATATAACGCCTCTGTCTAGATTTAATTTGTTCATGTACGTATCCAGTTTTTTTCTCACCATTTGTTGAAAAGACCATCTTTGCTTCATTGTATTGTCTTTACTCTCTTGTCAAAAATTAGCTGAATATAATTTTGGGGGCATATTTCTGGGGCGTTTATTTTGTTCCATTGGTCTATTTATGTGCTCTTTTGTCAATACCATCTAGAAAGCTGACAGTGTGGCAGTGTTAGTCATGAGATTTTGTTCTTATCCTTCAATATTTGCTATATATTGTATTGATCTTTTGCCTCTATGTATAAACTTTAAAATTGGTTTGTGAATATCATGAAATAACTGCTGGGATTTTGAGTGGGATTGCATTGAATTTATAGATTAAGTTGGGAAGAACTGCAACTTGACAACATTGACTCTTCCTAACCACAAACATGGACCATCTTTCCTTTGATTTAGTTCTTTGAGTTTATTAATCAGAGTTTTGCACATATAGACCAGGTATATATTTTGTTAGATTTATACCTAAGTATATAAATAGCATTTTTTTAAATTTCAAACTCCACTTGTTCATTGCTGGAATATAAGAAAGTGACTTCTATATATTAATTATATATCTTGAAACCTTGATATAATTGTTTATTAGTTCCAGGGATTTTTTTTGTTGATTCTTTTGGATTTTCTACATAGACCATCATGTCACCTATGAACAAAATTAATTTTATTTCTTTTTTCTAAATATGCATATATAGGTTGTCCAAAAAAGTGCATATGCACATTTTGAATAATTATAAAGGCAGTGTTTATTAAAATGCATTTTATTTTCAAAAATGAGCTATCAACTGTTAATGCGTATACACATTTATTTTTTATTGTCTTATTGCATTAGCTAGTACTTCTAACCTGATGTTAAAAAAGGATTGGTGAGAGGAGATATTTTTGCTTTTTTCCTCTTCTTAGTCAGAAAGTATTCAGTCCTTATGCATACTTCAAAATCCACATCCCCCAAAATTGTTCTCAGAAGCCTATACTGACCTCTCCCTTTCCAAATCTGAGAGAACTCAGCACTCAATCTTAAATTGTTTTCTGATGCTGATTTTTGTCCCTTTGGATAGAAATGATATTCCTCAAGGGCAGCTGCTCTGCCTTTCACTTGTGAAGCCTCAAGAGCTGGGAAAGTAGTAGACACCAAAACACACATGCTACTAGATAGATTTGATTTTATATTGACATGCACACACACACACACACACACACACACACACACATATATATATATATACATATATACATATATATGATAGCAGGTCATGTAATAGACACATTGGTACTCTATAATAATTGATTTTCTTATTGAAGACAGCTGTATCTAGAATCAAAGTTAAATTATGGATGAATTAGGACAGTGGTCGGCAAACTGCAGCTCACGAACCTCATGCGGCTCATGAGCCCAGGTTTGCCGCTCTATTGACTAATGAGTTTGCCAACCACTGAATTAGGGTAATGGTTTGGAAATTATTAATATATTTTTTTTCTTCTTCCATTTCCTTATTCATGATCTTCTCCTTAATCAGGCCAATGTCAGTGTGGTGTGGTTTGGAAGGGAAGGATACATGCTAGAAAAAGGTGGTTTAGTGGAGAGGTGATTTTATCAATTGCTTTGAAACATCAAAAGCCAAACACAGATTTCCCTATGGTATGAAGAAGACAGCTCTGGGCTATGGCAGTTGGTCCATGACGCTTGTTTCCCTATTTTAAAATGAGTCTACAATTCAGAGAACTAAAAATTCCTACACTCCATCCCTGTTAGCCTGGGATTATTTGCAGAAGAGAACAAAGGAACAGTGATTTGATTATGTCAGTACTCAACTCTTAATTATACATCACTTCCCACCATTTCAAGTGATGATATATCTGAATAGCATAAATCCCCACACAAAGAAAAGAGAGGAGAAGCCACATGCATCTGTTTTCAGAAGCAATATTCAAAATATTTACTAATCATCTTCATCTAGACCGATCAGAATCTAGCCATAAAGTTAAGTGGTATTCTGAAGTTATCTTGAGGCATTACCATACTTAATGAGGTAAAAGGGGTCAGATACTCCAATGGCTTAAAACAGTGGGCATTAACCAATAAGCATTAAAATATTGCAACATTTTAATAATAAGTATACTAGCAAATACTAGTTGAACACTAGCCTTGGCTATGCCCAATATGACCTCCGTGAAGAGAGTGGGTGGAAGTGAACTGAAGCAATGAAAGCATCATTGAGTTTTTAAGACAGCTGTTTTGATAGTTAAATATCTGAATAGCATATACCCCCACGGAAACAAAGGAGATGACCTTTGTGTAGTGTGCAGGAATCCAAAAGCTCCACCAAATCTGTGAGAGAATGGGGAAATGCCCAGCACAAGTCTATGGTTGACATGAGGAGGCAGCCCCAAGGATGGCTTTCAAGCCTTGTGGCAGGAGGCTGGAGTTGTGAGGAACAACAGAGGCACTCTCCTGAAAAGCCCAGAAGCTGATGGAACCTGTTAACTCTCAGTGGTCACTTTTCCAGGTAACAGAATAGGCCAGTTTTGTCAAGACAGGGACCAGAGAGGAACAAGAAGATAGTCTATCTACTTCACCCTAAGGTTCCATAATCCACATTTGTCCCTTGTCCTTCCAGAACTTTCTTGAGAAAGATGGGGATTCTAGGAGTGAAGAGGTAGGAGGTGGTTTTAAATACTGGGGTTTTAAAGATATTACTTTAACCTTATAATAATGTGGTTGAACTTTGATAGACAATTTAAATATTTAAGCATACCAAATCTAACTGACTAAAATTTGAAAGATTTTTAAAATTGGAGTTTTGTCTAGGAGTCTAAGTTAGTTTTTAAAACCAATAAAATTGTAATTGTGTGTGTATGTGTGTGTGTGTGTGTGCAGTGATTTCCAAAGCTTGAGTATGAGTAAATTTGTAACCCCACTACACAGATGGAAGAGGAGGAACAATTTGGCCAATACATTTTATTTGCCTGTAAATTTAAGAGATCTGCATAATTAAGGAGGTGAGTGCATTTGAATTTTGATATTGCAGTTTTAAAAATATATATATTTTATTGATTTTTTACAGAGAGGTAAGGAGAGAGATAGAGTTAGAAACATCAATGAGAGTCATTGATCAGCTGCCTCTTGCACACCCCCTACTGGGGATGTGCCTGCAACCAAGGTACATGCCCTTGACCGGAATCGAACCCTGGACCCTTCAGTCCTCAGGTTGATGCTCTATCCACTGAGCTAAACTGGTTTCAGCAGTATTGGCAGTTTTTAATGTCACTATCTCTTGTGTGTTTTTCTCTTTTCGGACATTAAAAAAAGACCCTAAACCTGCCAGACTAATAATTATCTCCCTGACAAAATGTAAGATGAGAAAAGAAAACTCGACACTTGGAAAGCTAGGCTTGTTCTGTTGTAAGAGTGTAAGTGCTTCTGCATAATTTTTTTTACTCATCAAAGTACATAAAAGAGAAAATATTCTAAAAGAACATAATTACACACAACATTCGTACAAATAAATCTGCAAGTAGATAATGAGAACTAAACTAATGACTATAATAAGGCATTGTAAGCAGATCTTAAAAGCAAATCACATAGACTCTAAACTGAGCCTCATTTTATTGTACAATGTATCTACCTAGGAAACCACCTTAGTTCCACTAATACAGTTAGGCTAAAAGAACTGTAACTAGCACACTGTCTGCCCCCTAAAAAGAGGAGATGGAGCTTGTCCTGGGGAGCGGGGGGAGAGGGGACTGGAAGGGGATGGGGGTGGGGAGGACCAGACATCAAACTAGAGCTTAGAGCTCAGAGAAAGCTGTTGTTTAAACCTGAGGTCCTATCCATCTTATGTGTCCTGGCTTGGAATCAGAGACTCCATAAAAATATAGAAGGTGGGGCAAAAGAGTCTATGCACAAGATAGCTCCAGGTTTACAACACAAGGTAAAACCCACATTCTGTAAATTGCATACACTTTAAAGCATTCTTGTGGTGCAGAAGATACAGTCCCATTCATTTATGTTTGCCTTTACTGCCTTTGCCTTTGGGGTCAAGTTCATAAAATGTTCGCTATGACCAAGGTCCCTAAGTTTGGTACATATATTTTCTTCTACATAGCTTATTGATTTGGGTCTTTGATCCATTTTGAATTAGTTTTTGTACAAAGAAACAACAAAGAGGCAGCCAACCAAATGGGAGATGATATTTGCAAACAGTAGCTCCAGCAAATCTTTCTATTTTCAAAATATATAAAGATCTCATAAAACAACACCAAAAAACAAACAACCCAATCAAAAAGTGGGCAGAAGACCTAAAAATACACCTCTCCCAAGAAGACATATGAACAGCCAATAAATATACGAAAAAATGTTCAACCTCACTGGCAATTAGAGAAATACAAATCAAAACTACAAAAGATACCACCTTACACCTGTTAGAATGGCCATTATTAACAAGACAAGCAGCCGAAGCCGGTTTGGCTCAGTGGATAGAGCATCAGTCTGCAGACTGAAAGGTCCCAGGTTCGATTCCGGTCAAGGTCATGTACCTTGATTGCGGGCACATCCCCGGTAGGGGATGTGCAAGAGGCAGCTGGTCGATGTTTCTCTCTCATCGACATTTCTAGCTCTCTATCTTTCTACATTTCTCTCTGTTAAAAATCAATAAAATATATTAAAAAAAAAAAAAAAAAGACAAGCAATAACTAGTGTTGGAGAGGTTGAAAAAAAAAGGAGCCCTCAATCACTGCTGATGGGAATGTATGAAAATTCCTTAAAAAAAAAAAATGAAGAATAGAGCTATCATATGAGCTAGCAATCCCTCTCCTGGGTATATACAATAAATAAATAAATAAATAAATAAATAAATAAATAAATAAAATAAACAAAAAAACAACTCAAAATCACGTATTTATTTGAAAAGATATATGCATCCCTAGGTTCACTGCAGCATTATTCATGGTGGCCAAGAATTCATGGAAACAGCCAAAGTACCCTGCAAAAGAGGACTGAGTAAAGAAGATGTGGTACATATACACGATGGAATACTACTCAGCCATGATGAAGGATGAAATAGCACCATTTGCAACAACAGGAATGGACCTTAATAACATCATGCTAACTGAAATAAGTCAGTGAGCAAAAGTGGAGAACTATAAGATTTCACTCATATGTGGGATGTAAAACTGAAACTCATGAACACAAGCAGCAGTGTGGTGGTTGCCAGAGGGAAGGGAGTGGAGAGAGAAGGGGGTCCTAATATGTGGTGACAGGGAAAGATCTGACTTTGGGTGGTGGGCATACTGTGCAATGCACAGATCTTGTAACATAGAAACCCACACCTGAAACCCATATGTTCATGTTGACCTATGTCACCCCAATACATTTAATAAATAAATTTTAAAAAGAATTTCTGCATCTGTTTCAGGACTTTGCATGGGTTTATGTTGACTAAAATATTTAATAAATAAATTTTAAAAAGAATTTTTGCATCTGCCCCAGGTTTTTGCATGGATGCTTTTGAACCTGGCTCCCGAGGGCTTCATATAATGCAACAGTACAGATTCCCTGTAATCTGGCTTCCACCGAAGATCAGATTCCTGCCATGCAGCTCTCTTCACACAACAACCTCTATTTCCAGGTTCTAGTAACCAGTTCCCCATCTCTCCTTTCCAGTAAGAGTGGCACTCCATTCTTGAGCACCACACTAATATTCATGCGCTTTTCTCATCCCTCACTTTTCTGCATCGCCCAAACCTTATTAAATGCTCCTCAAATTGCCCACTGCAGTTTGACATCTGTTTCTTGCAGGGATTCAGATGGATACTGTAGACACGCATAGTCATGAGAACAGGGTGTACAAAGCCCTAGAAAAGGTCTCCGCCAACAAAAAATGGGAGCATGGCAAAAAAATAAATAAATAAAAGTCCCATAGTTTCTATAACTTTCTACTCTCATTGTTAATGTGAAAAATTATCCATCAAATTCAAGTCACAGGTAATTCTGACTAACAGGATGACACATAGGATGGTAATTTCCTTTTTGTAAGCCTTCTGGGAAGGGCAGTGGGAGACTTCTGACTAAAAAATTAGTGTTATAAGAAGTGTTCATAGGAGAACAATACCTAAGACAAAGTGACAAGGCAAAGCATTGAGGGGACGAACAGGAAGATCTTACCCGTCCATCGCTTGTCAGGAGGATGGAGTCACTCTTTATGTCCCTGTGAATCACTCCTTGGTTGTGAAGGTAGGAGAGAGCTCTCAGAACTGACAGACACACAGTAGCTATCTGTTCTTCATTCATTCTAGAAAGGAAACAACATTTAAGGAACAAGGACAGATTTAAGAACATCCTTGAAATGATCAAAAGAGGCAGCTCTCTTGTGTACTAGTGAATCAGCCCATGCTTGGAAAATCTATAGGCAAAGAAAAGGGAGTCGTTGGCATTTGATTTGCAGGACCTAAGGCTGGGTATGAGGATGCCAGGGACCAAATATAAGCCAAGGGCAAAAGACCCTCATTTGCTGGATTCTGGGTCATTACTGCAAATGCACTACCTTGGACACCTCTAGGCAATTCCTTAGGTGTTGCCAAACCTCCTGGGTCCTACAGGGAGAGTGCACTGAATAGCACCAAGGTTCTAGGTGTATCTGCTAGGTGACCTTGAGCAAGTCCTTTAACTTCTTTGGGTTTCTTTTTACTTACCTTGGAAATGGGAACAACCACAGTTCTCTCCAAGGCTGGGCTCAGACAAAGTGGCCTTTGGATCTCTGAGACTCTCCCTGCCTCTCACTAGCCCTCCCTTGCCCTTCTTTGGGAACTGGAGGTTTTTCATGCTTCAGGTCCTTCTGACAAGGACATTGGACCTGCTAAGCTACTAATAACTGAGTGTGAACGGATGATCCTGTAATAGATGGGTCATGGGAATGAGAAAGGCAAGTACAGCACCAGGCCTGTGCTCCTCTGGTTTCAGAGGAGATTGCACAGGTGCTGTGAGGTAGTTGTTTCTAACCTGGGACTTCCTTGACAGAATCTATCTGAGCTTATTCATTTGTTACAAAATAGGGATTGAAAAAAACCTTGATCAAAGGAGAACTCTAGAGACATGGATTGCCATCATAAGTTCCCTAAGGCAAGAAAGAAAACCTCTCTTTTAGATATATTTTTATTAACCCTATATAAAAAAGCCTAATATGCTAAGTGTCCGGTTGGTCAGCCATTCAACCAATCAAAACATAATATGCTAATGATATGCTAAGGCGCTCACCTGCTAACTATGATGTGCACTAACCATCCCAGGGCAGACAACTAACAGGTTGAACAGTCACTATGATGTGCACTGACCACCAGGAGACAGATGCTTTGATAGGTAGGTTAGCTTGCGGCTGTGGTCTGGACATTGGGACTGAGCGAGAAGGACCAGACACACCCTGGAGCCTTCCCATGGTCCCTCCCTGGCTGGTCAACCTCCCATGTCCCTCTCCAGTCCCAATCGTGCACTGGTGGGGTCCCTCTCAACCTGGGTTGATGGACCCCCACCCCCAATGCACTAATTTCATGCACTGGACCTTTAGTTGTTTTATATGTAAGTCATATTTGTCTTGTTCTTAGGTCTCTTCAGTATATTTGTTCCTGCAAATTAAAATTATCTTATGTATTTTAGGCGTGGGCATGTCAATGGCTCTACTGCAGAGTGTGCCCACTGAAATGTTGGTGAAAAAGCTTCAGTGTCCTTTGGTTTTGAGATGGTCTACTGCAGCTGAAGAGCTGCAGAGGTCATAATAAAAATTTTGCCTCATTTTAATGGAGAAACAGTAGCATATATTTTCTTCTCAGGGTTTCCTAATGCTTTGTTTTTCATCTGGATTCACTAATGATTTGGGTGCCATTTCAGTGAAATTAGCTTATATCCAATGACTCTCCTTCATGACAATCCTAACTCTTTGGCACTTTACTTACCAGCAAGACTAAACTTAAAGTTCCCCAAATGTAACATTTTTATCTGTTTCTTAGAACATTGCTTCTCCAAGTGTGGTCCATGAATGAACAGCTTGGGCATCACCCAGGAGCTTTTTAGAATGCAGAATATTACTTCTCTCCACACTGGATCAGGGTCTGTCTTTTAATAAGATCCACACAGGTGATTTGCATATTAAAATGTGAGAAGCACTGCTTTAGCATTTGCTCTTTCCTCTGACTTCAATGCCCTTCTTCTCTCACTTTCTGTCTTAGTGAACTCCTATTTATTTCTCAAAACCCATCTCAGATACTTCCCCCCCCCTTTTTTTTTTTTTTTTTTAGAAATCTTTCTTGATACTCCCTGATAGAGACATTCAGGAATTCTTCTATGCTGCCTACTTACATCTTTCTAATTCTGCACAGGTAGTATAAGTATTTGTTTCTAATCTGTGACTTCCTTGAGTGAATGGTTCTCAGCATTATTCTTTTGTGTCTTTTGTATACCAGCATATCAGAAACAGTCTAATACATAAAAAAGTGATGGATAAATACTTGATGAAACGGCCACAGCTATCATATCAGGAAAGTACATACTAGGTAATTACAATAGCAATTAACTACTTGCAAGACTCTTTAAAAACAAAATCGAAGAATTTTTCTGTGTAATATAGGTTTGTTATCATGACAAAAAACTTTGACTGATCTTCCATCTGCCTCTTCCTTCCCCAGGTACCCTTGGTGTATCAACATTTAGCATGTCAACTCAGGAGAACGAACTTAGTTTTAGATATCTGCCTCTATGTAGAAATGGAAAATTCTACTATTCATCGCCAAAACTTCATTCTTGGAAGCTTGGTGATCTTTAAAATCAATGGACATTAATGAACTTCTGGAGGAAAAGGAGAGTGTTAATTGAATGAGTGAACTATACATGTAGGATATTATAATAGGCACCTGGGGAATATAGAGGAAGAGGGTAGTCATGACCTTGCTTTCAAAGTGCTTACAATTTATGAAGAGTTCATAGGTTAGTCATTGTGGCTTCATCATGGAGGAGAATAACAAATATCTTTCATTGCTTGTCTGGATAATAAAAAAACAACTTACCTGGTATGAGTGACGATGTCTGTCAAGGCACCACCTTCTAGAAATTCCATGACCACCCAGAGCTCGTCACTGACAAGATAACTGTTGTACATGTCAACCACATTGTCATGGTGGTAATCCCGCATTATCACAACCTGAGCAAATGGAAAGAGACTTTTTTACTTGTGACAGTGAAATGTGGCTTCCTGTTCACTTGGAGTGACATTTGTGCTGTGAGCACGATAGATTGAGAGTACCTATTATAAATAAAGGCAATCAAGTCAGCAAATTTAGAGAAAATGGAAGGTCAACCAGACATTGGTGGGCGGTTGGTGAAAATAAGAAGTGAGAATAGGTAGAACCAGGACAAAGAATGCAACCACAGAGGGGGCTGAGCTTCCTGTTCTGGGGAAATATGGTAAGATATCCCTAAGGATCTCCTTTGGAAGGCACCACTCACACTCTATGGTTTGTTAACCTGGTACAGTATCACTAACTCATGGTAAGTGAATAAATGGTGAGTCTCACAAGTGAATGAAGCAAACAGTTACTAGGGGTAGGGCAACTTAAAATTAAATACATATATATATATATATATATATATATATATATATATATATATTCTAACTGATTTCAGAGGGAAAGGAAGAGAGAGGAATATCAATGATGAGAATCATTGATCGGCTACCTCTTGCATATTCCCTAATGGGGATTGAGCCCCCAACCTCAGCATGTGCCCTAACTGGCAACCATGACCTTTTGGTTCATAGTTCCACACTCAACCACTGAGCCACACTGGCTGGACCAAACTTCACTTCTTAGGAGAAGGTCTGGGTGAATTTGAGAGAGGTTTGGGCTGAATATAGAGGATGGATCTTGAAGATAAAGGCAAGTATGACCCAGGCATCCAAAGGATAACTGGAGTTTGTTTGCTGGAGAAAGCCTCCAGGAATTAGTGCCCTATGGCTGCTTCTGCTGACATTTTTGGAATTAGCATTGAATAATAAATTATAGAGTTGTTTATGTGAAGTTATATTTGCCCTGTCTGTTCTGGCATTGCAAGAAATACATTGCAGACATCAGGAATTGTGGACTGGGAAAAAGGGGAAGCCCACTCACCTGGTGCTGTCTGTGAGGTTCAGAGCATGGGGGAAAAATGAACACCTTGGGAGATAGAGATCTGTGGGGCTTCTGGTGGCTTCACATGAGCCTTCACTGAAGGCTCCAAAGTCGCAGATGATTGCATTTTTACAGTGTCTGTTTATTGTTCTGAGAGCTATATGTAGGTGGCACATTCATTGCTAAAGACTAACTTGTTATCTAGCATTGAAATCATGACTTGATATCTTTAAGACTTAGATTTCTCATTTACAAAAGCTCATCTCTCTCTTCAAGACCTCCCATAAAATCATTAAACACTCCAAAATGTTTTGTTCCTAGACACAAGTGTTTATTTTTTCTAACTATGTACATTTGGGAACTCTCAAGCGATACACAAGTTTAAAAATAAAATAAGAGCCGAAACCGATTTGGCTCAGTGGATAGAGCGTCAGGACTGAAAGGTTCCAGGTTCGATTCCAGTCAAGGGTGTGTACCTTGGTTGCAAGCACATCCCCTGTAGGGGGTGTACAGAAGGCTGATCGATGTTTCTCTCTCATTGATGTTTCTAACTCTCTATCTCTCTCCCTTCCTCTCTGTAAAAAAATCATATATATATATATATAATATTTATATAAAAGGTAAAATAAGAAAGTGAAAAAATGGGTGCAACAAATAGATAGAAAGAGTTAATTCTTTAATATAGCAAGATTTCTTACAAATCAATAAAGAAGTGCTACCACTCTAATTAAAAATAGTTCAAAGGCCATACAAGTCAATGTAAAAATATAAATATGGGCTATAAATATTTAAAAATAGATTCAGCTTCACTGAATAACATGTTAATTAAAGCAGCAAAATTTATTTATGTCTATCAGATTAACAGAGAAAACAAGATAGCATCCAATGCTAATAAGGGTAAAACAGGACCACTGGTGAGGTCCAAACTCTCTGGAAATCATATACCATTTCTCTAAGTAGAAAAAAATATAGAAAGAAAATACTGAAATATTAGCATGGAATATTTATTGGTTGTAGAATTATGAAGCTTTTAAAAATAAATTTTCTGTATCTTCTACAGGAAAAAATCATTATCTCTATAGTTAGAAAAAAACGTTTCAAAGTTCCTAAAAAGTGATCATTAGTCCACTGTTAAATTCACCTTGGTTTATTGTGATGTAAAAAAAAAATGGCTACAAAGGACATGGAATGTAATATATATATATATATATATATATATATATATATATATATATATCTACATAGTGTAGCATGAGGCTTTAAAATCTGACATCAACCTGCATTATGACTGTGGGCTAGCCATTTAACTACATAGAGTCCAGATTTCCTTGTTGCTATGGTGATGACATCTTTCTGTTTCACAGAGTTGTGAGAATCACACCAGATCAATGCTTGGCACAGTAGCTTATACACATGAAGTGCATAGAAAGAGACCAGAGGGAAGGATTATGGGAAAGCTATTTTTTTAGTTTATATTTTCACTGTTTTCTGATGTCCTAACATGTACTATTCTTGAAATGGGAAATAAGTGTTATGTAAGTGGGAAAAGATGATCCAGACATGCCATCTACCTCATTAAAAAGCAGCTCTCGTCTCTGCTGCTTTCGAAGGTCCATTTTCTTCACTGCAACTTGTTTTCCTGTGTGTTTCTCGGTGGCGATGCACACGATGCCGGTCGACCCTTCCCCGATTTTGATAAAGTTGTCCAAGTACTCCCTGGGGTCTCCTGGGCTGACTACCAGCTGCAGGGCAGCCCGAAACTGTTCGTGGGACACCCGAGAGGGCTGCTGGTCTGAGGAGGAGCCCCAGCTGGGTGGGGGGTAGGTGCTGGATGAGATGCTGAGAGAGCTCAGGTAAGAAGCGGTGGAGATGTACTGTGAGCTGGTCTGTAGGGAGGGGTGGTGGTACAGGGTGGCTTTGTGGTACCCAGAAGGGTACTGGTGGCTGCTTGAGGAATAGCCTGCTTTGCTTTGACTTTGAGGTAGTTTGGTGGGGCCCCTGGGGTAGGTGTCGGACCCTGACAGTGGAGGGCTGAGAACCATCTGTGCTCGATCGTAATCCACCTGGAGAAACAGACAAGGATGGAGAATAACCGCCTATTACATCTGAATACCACAGCCAGTTGGTTAGGGCGCGAACACACAGCTGGTCTGAATGAAGAGCGCCGCTGCACACCTGGTCATGGGTGAGGCTCACCTTTCAAGGTCATCCCTGCTCCCACCTTTTATCTGACCTCCAATCTCCCCATCCAGCCTCTTTCTTTCCTTTTCCCAATCAAATCCCCCAGAATCAGACTCTAAGAACTGGATTTGAATCCAAGTAGTGAGTGGACATGATCTCTGGAGTTATGAAGTGAGACAGAGGAGAGTACCAATAAAAGATGAATTTTTATAACCAAGTTTTATAACTAAACATATGATGGGTAATTTTACATTTTAGTTTGGCTAGGCTAAAGTACCCAGCTGCTTTGTCAAACACCAGCCCCAATAATTCAGTAAAGGTAATCTAATATTTAAGTCAGTAGACTGAGTAAAACAGATTACTCTCCTTAAGTGGGTGGGCTGCATCTGATCAGCTGAAGGCTTTAAGGGAAAGATTGAGGTCATCCAAAGAGAATGGATTAGATGGCCCTTGGACCTAAGACTACATCAACTCTCACCAGAATTTCTAGCCTGCCCACCAGTTAATCAGATTCTAGACTTTTAGCCCCCACAATAACATAAATGAATCCCTTAAAATCTCTCTCTGTACACACACACACACACACACACACACACACACACACACACACCTTCCTGAATCCCCATACTAAAGAGTACTATATACTATTCACACACAAATCTAGCATGTACATAAAAGGGAAAACATGGCTCCTTACTGACAGTTTTTTATATTGTAGTTCCCCCTCATACTCCAAGGTTACATGCCTAAAACTCTGGGTAGTACAGAACACAATATTTACTGTTTTCTCCTCTACATACATACCTTTTCACTAATAAATACATAAATAAATAAATAGCATTTTATAGCTTCTCTTGGTATATTCAAACTGTCAGCATCACTACTCTTGCACTTTGGGGTCATTATTGAGAAAGTGAAGCTTACTTGAACAAAGCACTGTGATATTGAGACAGTTGATCTGATAACCAAGGCAGCTACTAACTGACTAATGGGTATGGTGGAATATATATATACAGCCTGGAGACACTGGACAGAGAGATGATTCATGTCCCTGGTGGGATAGAGTGGGATGGCATGAGATTTCATCATACTTAAGAATAGTGTTCAATTTAAAACTTATAAGCTGTTTACCTCTGGGATTTTCCATTAAATATTTTCAGGTGATGGTTGACAACTGAAACCACAGAAAGTAAAACCATGGGTAAGGGAGGCTGGTGTATAGCATTAAGCTAAACATATGCAATGTTCTCACTAAATAAGTACAAAAAGCCAAAATTTGCAGGGAGTTGTGTGAAAGAAATTTAGTCAGCTCTCAAAGAGACACCAACAAAGAACATTCCAGTCTGATTTGAAGAGTGTTGATTTTGCAGGAGAATGGGGAGGACAGAATGGGGAGGAAGAATTTGCAGGAGAACGGGGAGGACAGACATAGCAAGGGTAGGGAAAGCCAGCGAGAGGTTTATATGACATTAGGTTTAGGTTCCAGCAATCATCCTGTCTCAGGGATCAGAAAGAGTCACCCTGGAGTGACTGAGATGAGGGATGGGAAATATACCACATACTGCGTTTACCTCATTGCTCAGGGCAGAAAGTGCTATTGATTAATGAACTCTTTCTGTAAGATCCTGGTGACAGCACAGTGCCAGATACATAGAAGATGCTCAAAGATTTGTTGATGGGCCCTCAGGCTTCTTCTTAACACAGCGCCTCAGAAAGTCTCCACCACTCTACTGGGATGTACATGGAATAACATTTACATACCTCCTCACCCCATCCACCCCCAAGATCCAGGTCTACTTTAATATGGTGGATATTGACCATAAGTGACTATTTAATTAAAATCAACATAAATTAAATGAAATGAAGATGAAATTTCAATTCCTTAGTCATATTAGCTACATTTTGAGCGTTTTTAAATAGTCACTGCATCAATAGCATGGGTAGAGATTTCCATCGCTGCAGGAAGTTCTATTGGATAGCACTCTTTTATTATAGATAGATTAATTGCTCCCAGACAGTATATTCATTGATTCATTTATTCCAGCAATTATGATGTGATAGGCATTATTGCAGGTACAGCGAGAAAGTCCAGTTATAATAAAATTGCATGGTATTTCTGCTCTCCTGGAGCTTATATTCTAGAGAAAGAGACAAAGGATAAATAAATAAACCAATATATAGATTGTATGTGGTTCATTAGTGATAAGTGATATGAAGAAATATAAAGCAGATGAGAGGGCTGAGAGGAAGGAGGTGCCATATTGGACAGAAAAGTGCTTTCTGCCCTGAGGGGGTGCTATTCAAGCAGCAACTGGTTGAAGTGAAGGAACGAGCCCCCATGAAATAAAGAAATTGGTCTGGCAGTGTTGCTCAGTGGTTGAGCATTGGCCTATATACCAATAGACTGCTGGTTAGATTCCTGGTCAGGGGCACATGCCCAGGTTGCAGGCTTGATCCCCAGTAGGGAGTGTGTGAGAGGCAGCTGGTTGATGTTTCTCTCTCATCAATGTTTCTATCTGACTCACTTCTGCCTTCCTCTCTAAAAAATATACATATCCTATCTATTAAAGAGGAGATAAGCTAATTGACCAGACACCACCAATGAGGAGGGAATATGCTAATTAACTGACCCCACCCTCAAATATGGCAGTGTCCACAGCCACAAGATGGCAGTGCCCAGTCCTCTCATCCCTGCCTGCCTCTGGAGCCCCCCAGTCTCCTCAGCCCCCCTCCCCGGCCCCCCAGAGCCACCCGAGTCTCAGGTAACCAGGGCCAGCTGAAGCTTGCGCTGCTGGCAGTGGCAGCAGCAGAGGTGTGATGGGGGTGTCACCTTTCCCTGCTTGCTGGGTTGCCTCCCACCCCTGAAGACTCCAGGATTGTGAGAGGAAGCAAGCTTCTAGTATATCAATTAAAATATATATATTTTTAAAATGAAGAAATCCCATCCTTTAAGAATCAAAAACACTACTCCATACTGCATTGGGCCACCTTTCTTCTTTACTGAGCATCAGCAGCATTGTCAGGATCTAGGTTAACAGCAGGCATGTGGCATAAGAAGAGATGCTTGCCTGCATGAATGGAACACTTTTAAGTCATACAGAATGAGGAGTCATTCGCCGGAAGCTAAACATTTCTGAAATTAGGTCTGTGTGACAAAACAGTACTATTGTTTTTCATGCTTGCTGTGGAGTCTACAAAAAGTAATAGATGAGGAGCAACCATTATCACAAGAGACAATTTTTTGAGCCAAACTCGAGGTGTACTCATCAAAGGACAATAGACTGCTTGTCTAGACTGAGGGAACATGTGACTTTCCCTGCTGGCTTTCATCCATTCAAGGAGATGGTAGGTAAACAGCTGACTTTGTGAAGGAGAAATGCATGCATGACCCTTTTTGAGGCCACCATGTCGCTGACCCATGCCCTCAGCTGGGTCTAAATGACCCAAATGTGGGATTCATGATGGCGAGTATTGCTACAAGTACATTTGTGTCAGGCCTCATTCCTTTTTACTCTGATAGTTAAGCAGAGGCAATTTATTCCATGTTATTGTTGACAAAACTGAGGCTCAGGGAGGAGAAACTGCTCCCAAGTAATACAAGGCATATGGCCCTATAGCCCTGAGATTACATACATCACCCCATCCTTTTGCTCAGGTCAGTCCTTTACTCCCAGTGGGAGGGTATCTAGATGACCCAAGTGCTTGGCATACTGACATCACAGGCCAGCTTTCTTCTCTGTCTTGTCACTTCTACAATTGGCTGTCACCTCCCTGAAGTGTATATTCACGATTGGACCCTCTCTCTTTAGTAAGATGCAGGGGTGTTTTATTGGGCCCCTTCCATATATCAAATTATCTGTTAGAAGTCTATTTTTGCAGGATGGATAACATATCAATGACAACTATACTTAACATTTGCTGAGTGCTTTCCATGTGCCAGAGGTTGTTCTAAGTACTTCATGTTCATGGTTGCATTTAAACCTCAAGTTACACAATGAGATGGACCCCATAATTGTTTCATTTCACAGATGAGAAAACTGGGGCACCATGGGTTTATGTAAGCCCTTCAAAGTTCTCAAAGCTAAGTACAGTCAGAATTCAAATCCAGACAGTGCTACTTGAGGACCTGGACCCTTGATATGATCAGAAAGTGGAGAGAAACAGCACAGAGGTGAGTGCAGAGTGGGAGTGACAACTACAGAGCTAAAGCCTGTTAGGGTGTTTCATGGGGCCCAGATGTCTAAGAAGCCTGCAGCAGAATGCAACAACTGGGCCAGAAAATGATGAATGAGGGAGGAGGGAGATGTAAGAAAAATTAAGTTGTTTATTTGTTTGTTTGTTTTGTTTTGCAAGAGAACATGTATTTGGTATATTACAGAGGTAGAAGATGTCATTCCTAGAAGAAATGGGCTTAGGGAACAAGTTATGGAGGTAAAGGAAGGGCCCTTGGCAGCTTGGAAGTGAGGAAGTAATGGTAATGTGGGGGCGGGGGTGGGAAGGGGAGAGGAAGAGGGCAAAGGGAAAGCCATATGTGTGCACCCCCAAGATGGAGAGACAGTGTGTGTGTGTGTGTGTGTGTGTGTGTGTTTAAACAGTTTTGGCTTAGAGAAATCAGCTCAAAATATACAAAGAGAATAATCATCAGAACAAACTGAAATGATCATCTATGTGCATAATCTGTCACTTTTATTTCTGCTGCTGTGTTCAGCTACAACAATGCTCAAACATTCTTCTGTGGACTCTTCCAAAAAAGGCAGCCCAAGCTTTCTTTTGTAACAAGGCTTCCTGGCTCTTGGTTCCTAAATTGTTATAATTATTTAATTGTCCTGCTCTAAATAGTCTTTCCCATAATATCTTATATTTGGAAGTGAGTAAAATATGA